CTAGTGCAGACATCGTGGACCTCGTCCACGATCTCCGCACTAGGCACAGGAAAGTGGCCGTCTAGGGCAGGAGAGCTGCCAGCCTGGCCACCCAGGACCAGGTGTGCATGAAAATCAAGGGGGTCCACTGAGACCCCCGACACTGAGCCCTGAGCTTACAATGGCCGTCCTGGGTCAGACCAAAGGTCCATCTAGCCCAGTAGCCTGTCTGCCGACAGAGGCCAACCCTAGGGACCCCGGAGGGGATGGACTGAAGACAGTGACCAATCCATTTGTCTCGTGCCATCCCTCTCCAGCCTTCCACAAACTTTGGGCAGGGACACCACTCCTACCCCCTGGCTAAGACTACTCCATGGACCCAACCTCCATGACTTGATCTCACTTCCCTTTCAACTCTGTTCTAGTTGTAGCCTTCACAGCCTCCTGCAGCAAGGAGTTCCACAGGTTAACTATTTGCTTTGTCAAGAACAACAACTTTCTCTTACTAGTTTCAAGCCTGCTACCCATTCCTTTCCTTTGGTGTCCTCTAGTCCTTCTTTATGGGAACTCAGGAAGAACTTTTCTGAATGCACCCTCTCCACCCAACCCCTGCTTTTAGAGACCTCTATCCTGTCCCCTCTCCGTCTCCTCTTTTCTAAGCTGAACAGTCCCAGTCTCTGTAGCCTTTCTTCATCTGGGACCTGTTCCCAACCCCTGATCATGTTAGTTGCCCTCCCCTCTCCCAGCCTTTCTCTTCCCTTCTCCCACCTCCTTTTCCCAGTCTCCCCCAGTTTTTTTCAATAAAGACAGAGTCAATGTTGGAAGAAACGTTATCTTTATTTTGTACATCAATAAGAAGGGGGGCTAGGGAAGGGTAAGTGGAAGGAGGTGAGGGAGGAATGGGGTACGAGCCCCCGATGGGGAGGACTGGGCTGGCTCTGCGGGCTTCTGGGGGTGGAAGCTCTCCTGCAGCCCCCCGATTGCCCCCTCTCCCCAGATGGCAGCCTGCGGCAAGTGCAGCCGGTCTGATGGCCGAGTGGTGTGATGTGCCCAGTGTGGGCACTCCGGGCACTCCAAGCCAGGACTGGTTTTCAAGCGGGGCACCCCTGAGAACTGTCTGTCCGGGGTGGGGGTCGGGTCCCTTTAAGCGCAGCCCTCGGCTAGCCTGAGACAGCATCTCCAGCAAGTCCTCCTCTGATGCCCTGCCGGCACTGCTTCCGGCCATCCTTAAGCCCTGTTCAGAGTCCACTCAATGTGGACTTGCTAGTTCGAATTAGCAAAACGCTAATTCGAACTAGGTTTTAGTTCTAGACGCGTTAGTTCGAATTAGCTTAGTTCGAATTAACTAATTTGAACTAAGTTAGTTCGAACTAGCGCTGTAGTGTAGACGTACCCCTAGACTGCTGCGCTGTGCCGGATCAGCTGATTGTTGTCTCAGCGCAGTGGCCATTTTTATTTTAATGAAGTGGGTATTATTTAAATCCCTGCTTCATTCACTGTCGGGTAAACTAGTTTACATGGCTCTGTCGACAGAGCCATGTAATCTAGACATACCTTAGACTAACAAAATACATAGATGGGATCATGAGCTTTCTGGGCACACCCAGTTCTTCATACTTGGTGTGTGGAGTGCAGGGAGAGGGTGTGTTTGAATACTGCAGAGTCAGAAGGACCCCGCTCTGGATACAGCGCTGCTAGGAGGAGGTTGCCAAGTAGAAGGTCTGTCCCTGCAAGTGTGCTTAGAGATCCAGAGGCTGGAAATCATTGCCATTCCATGAGACCAAGAATGCAGAGACCAGGAAGGGGAGCTCACTGGGCTCTGCAACAGTTGGCAAGTCAAATTGTTGATCTATAACCACCCTCATAAGAAATTATGCCAATATTCTAGAGTTAAGAGTCTGAAGTATCACAGCTTTCTGTGTAGGGACACTACAGGGCGTGGATTATGAGTGTAAGATATGATGGTATTTGCATGTGGGCATCAACCTATCCTAAGAAGAGGCTGTTATTTCTAGCAGGCCTGTGATCTTTGTCTCCTTGCTTCTCTTCTGATCTTGCTCTTATTTCCTCTTGGCTATTGGCATGGCAAGGTATCTGGGGCTATGTCTACACTCGCGGCTTCTTGCGCAAGTAATATGCAAATGAGGCTAAGTGTGGAATATCGTCGAGCCTCATTTGCATACCTAATGAGCCACCATTTTTTCAGAAGAGGCTCTTGCATAAGAAGGAGCGAGAAAAACCCTCTTGCGCAATGCCGTTCTTCCTGAAAAGTAATAGGTGTAACGGCATTGCGTAAGAGGGTTTTTCTTGCGCAAGAAGGGGCCGTGTAGTCGCTCCTTCTTATGCAAGAGCCTCTTCTGAAAAAATGGTGGCTCATTAGGTATGCAAATGAGGCTCGGCGATATTCCACGCTTAGCCTCATTTGCATATTACTCGTGCAAGAAGCTGCGAGTGTAGACATAGCCCAGGTGTTTTCACAGTGAATGTTCCAGGTTGTTGGATGGGTTAGTGGCATTAATTAACTTGGTGGGTGTACCAGTGTGTCCCCAGAGTACTTGGGGTTGTCCCCGGGGTTGGCGCGGCACCTCCCGGTGTCCTGGTGCCCCGCTCTCATGTGGGGTCTCGGCTCTCCGCTGCACGTTCAGGCGCTTTGCTTCCGCCTGAGCGTCAGTGTAATTTCCCCACTGCTGGGTGGGGGAAAGGGGGGCCTGGGCCCGCCCTCACTCACGGGCCCCAGCCCAGGGCCCTAAGGACGCGGAACTGACTGGCTCCGGCCCGGCTGACGGGGGCCCTGTCGTAACTCGTCAGCCCACCAGCTCGAGTGAGCTCTGCCCTGGGCTGCTTCCTTTCCCCCC